GGATCAAACAGCTGCTAAGTTGGAGAGCTAGGATTCAGTGTCAGGCCTGTCTTCCATCCTAGTTCTGCTTCTACCATCCCTCAACTCAGGAACAGCATAGGAATGGCCATTTTAGCACACTTGTCTGCCTTGTGTGCCTTTAGTTTTACTTTAGTTTATTTTCAGGATCAATTTTTTCCAATTTTAGGAGATTTTTCCATCAAACATACAAAAGTCTTTTTATTTGTTGTAAGAGCAAAAGCTTTCAAAAGTCCCTTCCAAGTGCTAAAATCCTATGAATCTAAACACAAGACATTTCCCAGTCTTTCCGTCTCTTCTCTAAGTGGAGTGTCAGCCTATTTGACATGTCCTGATGAGATGGGAGAGTTCCCTGGATCCCTTCACTGAGACTTGTGACAGGGGTGTGGCCACATTCAAACCCCTTGCAGGAGGGGGAACATGCAGACAAGTGGGTGCCATTGTGGGGGCTGGGGAGAGTGCTTTTGGGCTCTGGCCCCAAGACAGCATTTAGGGGTGTGTTACAGTTAATGCTCTTTTAGCAGTTGCTGTCCATGGATAGCTAAGTGTTAGCCAACTCAGTGGAGAGTCAGGGTGACAGGCTTTTACACCCAACCTTCTTGGTACCTGGGTCCTTGTCTGGCATCCAAGAAGAATCAGGTCACACGGACTTGAAGGATGGTGAATGCAGAGGTTTTATTGAATGATAGAGGTGGCTCTTAGTAGGATGGGGAGCTGGAAAGGGGATGGAGTGGGAAAATAATTGTATTAGCTTTCTCTTAGAGGGACAGGACTAACAGGACATATATATATATATATATATATTCCTGTGCTGATCAGTAGTGGGATGGTGCCTATGAATAACTACTGCACTCCAGCCTGGGCAACATAGTGAGACCCTGTCTCTAAAATACACACACACACACACACACATGTATATATATCTACAAATGTAATTTTTTTTTTGAAATGGAGTCTTGCTCTGTCTCCAAGGCTGGAGTGCAGTGGCATAATCTCAGCTCACTGCAACTCCACCTCACTGGCTCAAGCAATTCTCCTGCCTCAGCCTCCCAAGTAGCTTGGACTACAGGCACGTGCCACCATACCCAGCTAAGTTTTTTGTATCTTTAGTAGAGAGGGGGTTTCACCATGTTGGCCTGGGTGGTCTTGAACTCCTGACCTCAGGTGATCCACTTGCCTTTGCCTCCCAAAGTGCTGGGATTACAGGCATGAGCCACTGTGCCCAGCCTCTATAAATATAAATTAAAAAGAAAGGATAGAAAAAAAATAGATTTGCATGTGTGCACCAGCAAAAATGTTGACATTGTATGAAGCTTTCAGGAAGAGGATATAAAGTGAACACCAGTCTTGGCTGGTCTCCTAAAAGGATTGTGTTCTCTGCTTGTGTTGTCCAAGTATGTTATGCATTATGCTGCCATCTTCCTCACAGTTTTATGTGCAAATGTCTTGTGAGAATGCAGAAAAATCTGTGGAGAAAGCGAGTTCACCAAAGACGGCCAGAGAGACCTAATGATTGGCAGAACAGTCAGAAGCGCTTAAGCGTGTTGAGCAAGGTGCAGACGTGAGGACATAAACTTGGCCACCCACTGGTACCCATTTGCTGCATGCACCATAACTGATCACTAAGTATTAGAGAATTAGATAACTGGTGTTTTTATATCCTGTATTACACAAAAATCCATGATGGATTGTTATATACATAAGTTTTAGTGATATTTGGAGAACTTGGATAGGATTTTTGGACGGACTGGGAGTGCACTGCTTTTTCCCATTTAAAATAATAGAATTTAGGCTGGGTGTGGTGACTCACACCTGTAATCCCAGCACTTTGGGAGGCCAAGGCAGCTGGATCACCTGAGGTCAGGAGTTTGAGACCAGCCTGGCCAACATGGTGGAACCCCATCCCTAATAAAAATACAAAAATTAGCTGGGCTTGGTGGTGGATGCCTGTAATACCAGCTACTCAGGAGGCTGAGGCACAAGAATCGCTTGAACTTGGGAGGCAGAGATTTCAGTGAGCCGAGATCTTGCCACTGCACTCCGGCCTGGGTGACAGAGAGAGACTCTGTCTCAAAAAAACAAAAAAAAGTAAATAAAAAATAAAAATAAAATAATAGAATTTAAGTTGCTGTTAAACAAAAGGCAGTATCTAAACATGTATTTAGTTACAGATTAGATTCCATCAACATAAGGTGCTTGTTTTATAAGCATTTAAGAGATACATACATGTAAGTTTCTACTGGTATTATGAATATACAAAACTTATTCATTCTTCTCAGTGTCTCTGGTCCTCCTAGTTGCTCAAGGCCCCAGTTAATGTTGAAAAATATGGCCAGGTGTGGTAGCTCATGCCTATAATCCCTGCACTTTGGGAGGCCTAAGCCGGAGAATTACTTGAGCCCGGGAGTTGGAGACCAGCCTGTGCAACATGGTGAAACCCCATTTGTACTAAAAATACAAAAATTAGCTGGGTGTGGTGACACACACCTGTGGTCCTAGATACTTGGTAGGCTGAGATGGAAGGATGGCTTGAGCCCGGGAGGCAGAAGTTGCAGTGAACTGAAATGATGCCACTGCACTCCAGCCTGGGTGACAGAGCCAGACCCTGTCTCAAAATAATAATAATAATAAAGTTGAAAAATATGTGTGTTTTTTGTCAGCAGCCTACCTCCCCTACAACACCCAACAAGCCTGTGGTGCCCCTCGAGTGGGCATTAGGGGTGATGCCAAAGCCAGACCCCACGGTCATCAACAAGCACATAAGGAAATTAGTTGAGGTAAGTGGTTGAGGGAGAATAAAGAGAGGGCACTTGAAGACCCTTTCCCTTTCCAGAATATTCCGCGATTGTCCACGAATCTGATGGAATCTATGAAAACAACCCTCTGGCAGGTAGGAACAATTTAGCAGGCACTTAGCGCTACCTGGCATTGGGCCCTGGGGAGAATCGATCAGGAAAGCCCTTTTCCCTTTGTTGTCAGTCTACTCTCTCTTGCCCAGATACTCTCAGCTACTCCCAGCAATTCTCTTTCCCAGGCATTTGCCACCTCTGTCATTGTCAACAGCTCAAGGGATTGGGGATTAGAATCACCCATGAAAAACCCACATAGGTCCCACTAAGATGCCCAATAAATTGATTACCCAAGGGCAGGAAAGAAATCCTGTAAGTTGGATAGTTTCTTCTTTTGTATAGTTTTGGAATTTTATGATACAGCAGCCCAATGTAATTGAGATTAGAAAAATCACCTAATGTAGGACAAGGCTCTGTCAGAGTTTTCCATGTAGAAAAAAGAGTAGAAGTGCCAATGGGGGGAACACGGAAACATCTAGGGTACAGGAAACTGTGATCCTGAATTAAATGTCGACTTTAATGGATTGGTAGGTACATCTGCTGGTGCAACAGAATTGAGTCTTTGGGACAGAATGTGCTTTTTTCTGGGAGAAGATGTTTAAAGAAAAAGAAAGAATGTCTTACATCTTGGATAATTTAGGGAACCAGGAGGTGCTGAAAGAAAAATTTTGTGGAGCGTGTGAGGCAGGAAGGAAAAGGGTGGTGCCAAAAGGAGTATTAGTGAGGGAAGGTCTGAGAAGGAGATAAGGTCCAATGGAGCCTATGGTAGTAACAGATCCAGCTTAGAGCTGGGGAAGGTGAGAAAAGGATCCAGGGGCCCCCAGGGAATGCAAGGACTGAGTTGCAGCTCAGGAATGTCTGAAGCCAGGAAACGGAAGACAGAGCTGTTCCCTCTCCCAGTCTCATTCTACATACTGACTTCCTCTGCTCTCTCTCTCTCTGTCTCATTCTGTCTTCCTTACCTACTCTCTCTTCCTTATTCTCCAAATTCCTTACCATTGGTTCAATCAAACAAAAGACCTGGATTTTATGATGAATTTTACTCCACAAAAAATCTACTTGCAGTATAAATATGGATGTTAAACTATAAATAGTAGGCATTCCAAAATAGTTAACTTTTAAGCTATTTTTATTATAGCTAAGTAATGATACTGGGATTTTAAAAATAAAAAGGTAATGTTTTCTGATTTTGCACAATTCTGTTACCTATGAAAAAGCTTGAGATGGGCTCATTTGAGTCATATTTTTAATTAACTCATTCATTTATACCTAACTACTTCCCAAAATACTCCTGAAGCAACTTGCAACACAGGGCAATATAGATAGATAGAACAGACAGAAACTACTGGGAAAAGGAGAGAGATTAATTAAAACTGGAATCAAAATCAAATATAAATTTGTGTACATGTGTTTGCAGAAAGAACTTACAAAAGTTTTTGAAAACCTAATTTTGCAGAGGGCAATGGGAAACTTTTTTGTTCTTTTCTGATTATAAAGGAAGGTAGAATCATCAAGAATATTAAAGCATTACATAAATTATAGAAAATAAAAAGCTTTACTTTCAGGTCTTGGTAATTCTATTCTCCAGGGATAACCACTGATAATTTGTAGATTATCTTATATGACTTTATTCTCTATCTCTATGTATATATAAACACAGATATACTACATACATATATACATGTATGTCTTATGCAACTTTCTTCGAGTTCTTTAGAACAGATTCCTAGAAGTGGAATTGCTGTGTCAGAGAGTAGGCACTTAAAATTCCTGATTGTCCTCCAGAAATATTGTGGCTATTTACATCACTAAATTGATACAAGAGTAACTATTGTCTCATACCCTAGAAGATGATCAATTACAGTATTTTAAGATTTTTTTTTTTTTTTTTGAGACAGAGTCTCGCTCTGTCCCCCAGGCCGGAGTGCAGTGGCCGGATCTCAGCTCACTGCAAGCTCCGCCCCCCGGGTTTACGCCATTCTCCTGCCTCAGCCTCCCGAGTAGCTGGGACTACAGGCGCCCGCCACCTCGCCCGGCTAGTTTTTTGTATTTTTTAGTAGAGACGGGGTTTCACCGTGTTAGCCAGGATGGTCTCGATCTCCTGACCCCGTGATCCGCCCGTCTCGGCCTCCCAAAGTGCTGGGATTACAGGCTTGAGCCACTGCGCCCGGCCAAGATTTTATTTTCATTTTTATTTCTGTAATGATTAGCAGAGCTGAATAACTTTCCATGGATGTATTGACTATTTGTATTTTTATTTGGTGATTGCCTGTTTGACTTTTGTGTCTTTGCTCTCGCATATGCTGCAAATAACTTGCTCTGTTTGACATTTATCTTAAAATTTGTTAATTGAGCTTTTTTGGTTCAAATTTTTTGCATTTCATTAAATAAAATATTTTTCTTTATGGCTTCTGACATTGATGTCATGCTAAGAAAGCCCTTTTTCACACAAAGATTATGAAATGTGAAAAATATTTTCATCTATTTATCTTTGACGTTTTATAGCTTTGGGTGTTTTTGCATTAAACTATGTAATACACTAGTGCGGAGGCTCATGCCTATAATCCCAGCACTTTGGGAGGCTGATGCAGGAGGATGGCTTGATTCCAGGAGTTTGAGGCTGCAGTGAGCTATGATCATGCCACTGCACTGCAGCCTGGGCAACAGAGTGAGATCCTGTCTCTAAAAAGATAAATAAATAAATAATATATAATACATCTAGAATTTAGTTTGGAGGTAATTTATTTTGTAAGATTATTAGTCATTTAACTCAGTAGCGGTTATTGGATAATCCATAATTTCTCTGTGGATTTTAAAAGACACTTTTTGATATTTTAAATTCCCATATATACATGGGTTTGTTTCTGGACTCCACTCTCCATGGTAATTTGTATCATGTTGTTTTGATTAGTGTAGCTGTGTAGAATATTTGATTTCTGAAAGGGCATGTTCCGCCTCATTACTCTTCATTTAAAATAATTTTTAGCCTGTTTTCAACGTAACCACTTTGATTTGAACCTTATAATCAATTTGTTCATTTAAAACAAATCCCTACTGGGATTTTGACTGGAATTGCCTTAAATGTACAGTTTATTTTTTGAGATAACACCTTAAAACTTTATTTTCTATTGTCATGGTATTGGAATTTATAAATTCACTAAGCCAATTTCTACTCAACCCTGAGGTTTCAGTTTAAACCTTGCTTTTCCCAGGAAACCTTTCTTAATCTACCTCCTCTTTCCCCCCTACCAATAGCACTCTGTTTTTATTTATTTATTTACTGAGATGGAGTTTTGCTACTGTTGCCCAGGCTGGAGTGCAATGGTGCCATCTCAGCTCTCTGCAACCTCCTCCTCCCAGGTTCAAGTGATTCTCGTACCTCTGCCCCTTGAGTAGCTGGGATTGTAGGCGTTATGCCACCATACCTGGCTAATTTTTTATTTTATTTTATTTTTAGTAGAGATGGGGTTTTCATCATGTTGGTCAGGGTGGTCTTGAATTCTGACCTCAGGTGATCCACCCACTTCGGCCTCCTAAAGTGCTGGGATTACAGGTGTGAACCACCGTGCCCAGCCCAAGTTTTATTTTTAATTTTATTTTAAATTCATTTTTTGGGGATGATGCCTTACTCTATTGCCCAGGCTAGAGTGCAGTGGTGTGATCTTGGCTCGTTGTAACCTCGAACTCCTGGGCTAAGCAAGCCTCCTGCCTCAGCCTCACAAGTGGCTGGGACTAAAGGCATGCACCACCATGCCCAGCTAATTTAAAAAAAAAAATTTGTAGCAATGAGGTCTCTCTATGTTGCTCAGGCTGGTCTCAAACTCTTGGGCTCTAGTGATCTTCCCACCTCTGCCTCCAGCTCCCAAAGTGCTGGGATTACAGGTGTGAGCCACCACATCCAACCATTACTCTGTTTTTATCCTCAGCAAACTACTTGTCTCTTACGTTATAAAGGCTTCTCGACTTAGTTATCTTTCACTAGATTCTAAGCTCCTTGAGAGAAAGGACCAATGCTGGTTATCACTGCTTTCACAATAACAAGTGCAGAGCCTGCCTCGTAGTCATTCAATAAATACTGATCTTTCCTTTGCAGTCTGTATTTAGAAACTATGATCATGACCATGACGGGTACATTTCCCAAGAGGACTTTGAAAGTATAGCTGCCAATTTTCCCTTCTTGGATTCCTTCTGTGTGCTGGACAAAGATCAGTAAGTTTTAATTTTGTTTTATTTTACTGCAACTATCGTAAAGCAGAAAATTATTATCAGAGGAGAAAAGGGAAACTTGTAATTTACGTCTTGACAGCTTCAACCCTAGTGCTTTGATGAGCCAGGTTTAATTCGTCACTGATTATTTTCTTGGTGTATATGAACATGACCTGAATGGAATCACAGGGCAGACCGTGTTGTCAGTGTTGAGCACAAGTGCATATTTGTAAATTATCCAAGCACTCCACTTGCTATATTGCCTCTATTGCTTAGCTCTCAACCCCAAAAAATCTCCACCAAAAAAGAGTAGAGGAGAAATATAATTAGATCTAACCTGGGAGAATCTTTGGCATTAGTGGACCTGAAGGCAATCTTAAAACTCTTGAGCATTTAAAAAAAAAATTTTGGCCAGGCATGGTGGCTGACGCCTGTAATGCCAGCACTTTGGGAGGCTGAGGCAGGAAGATCACTTGAGGCCAGGAGTTCAAGACCAGCCTGGCCAACATGACGAAACTCTGTCTCTACTAAAAATACAAAAATTCACTGGGCGTGGTGGCACAGGCCTATAATCCCAGCTACTTGGGTGGCTGAGGAGGGAGAATCGCTTGAGCCTGGGAGGCAGAGGTTGCAGTGAGCTGAGATAGCACCACTGTACCCCAGCCTGAGTGACTGAGCAAGACTTTGTCTCAAAAAAAAAACAAAACTTATTTATAGTCTTCATTAAAGCAGACGATAGCTGCAGATAGCCAAGAAGCATTCGTGCTTTTTCCTTTGATTGATCAAAGGTTGTCTTGATAAACGAAGAAAAAATATATTGCTTTTTAGTGTCAAATGATTCCTAAAAATTAAACTGCTTTAGAGACTAAAATGCAACTCATTAAAAGAAAATAATGATTTGGAAAAAAAACTGCTGAGAAATCCTGGCATTAATAATTTGATTGTTAATTGTACAAGATCAGTTCCTAATTTAAAAATCACCTGTAAGGAAATGCTGGATTTTGTTTTGGTAAATGGGCAAATGAAATTACATTAAAATTCTCGAATATTTTTGCTGGTATGAGATTTTTTAAAAAAATGAAATCTGGGGCCAGGTGTGATACCTCACACCTGTAATGCCAGCATTTTTGGAGGCTGAGGTAGGAGGATCGTTTGAAGTTTCAGACCAGCCTGGGCAACATGGTGGGACCTTGTCTCTAGCCATTTTTTCTTAATTGAATTTAAGAAAATAAAATCTGTAATTCAACACACCAAGAAAAGCCTTGACACATTAACATAACTTAAAATCTTAAATTCATCTTCATTATATACCCAGAACAAAGAATACTTTTAAAATAAATTCTATTAGAAACATTAACTTCCTTCACAAAGTAAAATTTAAATTGCCTGCTAACTACCCACTTCTTGCTTAGTTTGTTACTATTAGTGACATGTAAATAGGACATTGACTTAAAATAACTTCCCAGTCTTCATTTATCTGTTGGTTCTAGAGACAGAATTTAGATTGTCCTAGCAAATATCTGCATCTATCTCTCTCTATATATCATCATTATCTCTACTTACTGATATCTATAGAATTGTTTTCTATGAATGAAGGTTTGAACTATTCATATCTTGCTTACATGACACTAAAGTTTTGAGTGGTTAATACTGGAAAGTCTCAAAAAGATGTTTTCTCTAAGGTACTGTTTTCCAAATGATGTTCCACAGAAGTAGCTATCAATTAGTACTTTTGAAAAAGGAACTAACTAATCACATGTGAGAAACACAGGGTTAAATCTCATTAAATAGGTGTCTTTACTGTGTGACTTCCCAAAGCTTTTAATAGGCTAAAGTGTGTTACGTTGTGAGTCCCTAGGAGGGGAGATGGGCTAATGTACTGTTACACAAATTTACGTAGCAAATGATGTCATAAATTTGTGAGACAATGCATTAATAAATTTATTTATCATATATATAATAAAGATTGTTTTTGGCACCTTCATTATGAAATCAGTGCCCATTCCTTTGAGTGGGCAAAAGACACAAATAGACACTTCTGTAAAGAAGACATACATGTGGACAATAAGCATATGAAAAAAAGCTCAATATCACTGATCATTAGAGAAATGCAAATAAAAACTACAGTGAGATATCATCTCATACCAGTCAGAATGGCTATTATTATTATTTTTGTTTTGTTTTGTTTTGAGACAGAGTCTTGTTCTTTCATCCAAGCTGGAGTGCAGTGGCACAATCTCGGCTCATTGCAACCTCCGCCTCCTGGGTTCAGGTGATTCTCATTCCTCAGCCTCCTGAGTAGCTGGGATTACAGGCATGCACCACCATGCCAGGCAATTTTTTTTTTTTTTTTTTTTAAGTAGAGACGAGGTTCCATCATGTTGGCCAGACTAGTCCATGTTGGTCAGACTGGTCCCGAACTCCTGACCTCAGATGATCCACCTGCCTTGGCCTCCCAAAGTTCTGGGATTCCTGGTGTGAGCCACTGTGCCCAGCCAGGAATGGCTATTATAAAGTCAAAAACTTGGCCGGGCGCAGTGGCCCACGCCTGTAATCCCAGCACTTTGGGAGGCTGAGGCGGGTGGATCACGAGGTCAGGGGATCAAGGCCATCCTGGCTAACATGGTGAAACCCCGTCTCTACTAAAAATACAAAAAATTAGCCGGGCATGGTGACGGGGGCCTGTAGTCCCAGCTACTCGGGAGGCTGAGGCAAGAGAATGGCGTGAACCTGAGAGGTAGAGCTTGCAGTGAGCCAAGATCGCACCACTGCACTCCAGTCTGGACAACAGAGCGAGCCTCCATCTCAAAAGAAATTAAAAAATAAAAAAAGAAAGAAAGTAAAAAAATAACAGATGCTAGTGAGGTTGCAGAGGAAAGGGAACACTTACACACTGTTGGTGGGAGTGTAATTCATTCAACCATTGTGCAAAGCAGTATGGCGATTCCTCAAGTAGCTGAAAACAGAACTACACTTCAACCCAGCAATCCCATTACTGAGTATATACCCAGAGGAATAGAAATCATTCTGTAGTAAAGACACAAGCATGTGAGTGTTCACTGAAGCACTATTCAAATATCAAAGTCATATAATCAACGTAAATACCCATCAATAATAGATTGAATAAAGAAAACGTGGTACATATACACCATGGACTATTACGCGGCCATAAAAAAGAATGAGATTGCCAGGTACAGTGGCTCACGCCTGTAATTCCAACACTTTGGGAGGCCGAGGCAGGTGGATCACCCAAGGTCGAGAGTGAGACCAGTCTGACCAACATGGAGAAACCCCATCTCTACTGAAAATACAAAAATGAGTCAGGCATGGTGGCACATGCTGGAGGCTGAGGCAGGAGAATCCCTTGAACCAGGGAGGCAGAGGTTGTGATGAGCCAAGATCGTGCCATTGCACTCCAGCCTGGGCAACAAGAGCGAATCTCTGTCTCAAAAAAAACACAAAAAAACGAGATCATGTCTTTTGCAGGAACATGGATGGAAGTGGATGCTATTATCCCTAGCAAACTAATGCAGGAACAGAAAACCAAATACCACATGTTCTCCCTCCTAAGCGGGAACTAAATGATGAGAACTCAAGAACACAAAGAAGGGAATAATAGACACTGGTGCCTCCTTGATGGTGGATGGATGGTCAGAGAAGCAGAAAAAATAACTGTTGGGTGCTAGGCTGTGCCATAATTTCCCAGTAGGCTTGAGAATTTAGAATCCTTTTTTTTTTTAACCTCCTACGCAAAATAACTTTAATAATAATACTTATAATGTACAAAAATCAAAGTTATTTTGCACAGGAGGTAAGAAAGGGATCTCAAATTCTCAAGCCTGGGGGAAAATTGTGGCACAGCAAACAGCAACAGGGAAGCCTGGGCAGGGAGTACAGGGAAGAAAGAGATGAAGTTGGACTTAGATCCGTTGATTGAGACAGAGAGTGGATTATCAGGAAGAGAGGTCTAGCAAGTTGTTGAAGATGTGGTGCAAAAATTCAGGACAACAGTCAGGGCTGGGGATGGAGATGAAGTCTTCAGCCCCACTGTAAGCTGGAGTCGCGATCTTGTGAGCAAACTCTGGTGGGAACGCTTAGAGGGAGGTGAGCTTGGGGCCTGAGGAATGAGCCTTCAGGGACTCCCCTCCTACATGCAGGCATTGAAAGGAGTCAGGGGGCCCTGCAGTGAGCTGGAGAAGGGGGAGCTGGAGAGGAAGGAGGAGAAGCAGGGTGGCATGCAATTCCAGGGTGCCTAAGGGGAGAGCGCCGAAAGAAGGAAACATGCCTCCGTGTTACCTCCTGCCAATGAGAAAAGGCCACTGAGGATGTTCTTGGTGACAGATTTGTAGGGTTAGAAACCCAAGTGGCATAAAGAGTACCTGGAGGAAATGATAAAAGAGCCTAATGATTTCTCTTTTTGAAAACCTCGGGAGTAAAAGAAGGAAGAGAGAAAAGACACCTGTTGGAGATGGTGGCAGGACTGAGAAAGGGGATTTTTCAGGTGGGAAAGTCCTGAGCATATTTGTGAACGGGGGAAGAAACGGAAAGAGACTGAGCATAACCTGGAAGGAGGAGAGTCCCAGGGAGGCTGGAGAGTGCTGGATGGGGCAACATTTCCTCTGAGAGAGGAGCCCCAAGAGAGGACAGAGGAGATAGAAAAGAATTCTGAACCGGAAAGGAAAGGTGTGATCACCAGCACATGCTAATGGACAAAAAGCAATATGGAGCTCACCTGTGTCAAGTGGATCCAATTATTATTATTATTATTTTATTTATTTTTTTTTTGAGAAAGAGTCTCGCTCTATTGCCCAGGCTGGAGTGCAGTGGTGTGATCTCAGCTCACTGCAATCTCTGCCTCCGTGCCTCAGTCTCCTGAGTTGCTGGGATTACAGGCACACGTCACCATGCCCACCTAATTTTTGTGTTTTTAGTAGAGACAGGGGTCTCACCATGTTGGTCAGGCTGGCCTTGAACTCCTGACCTCAAGTGATCCACCCACCTTGGCCCCCCAAAGTGCTAGGATTACCATTACCTCCCAAAGTGCCATGAGCCACTGCACCTGGCCAATTGGATCATTTTTGATAAACAAGAAGTCAGGGTATGTGGTGAGTAGGGGTAGGAAGGTGGGAAGAACCAGAGGTTTGTTCTGTGTGGAGTAGATCTGGAAGAATTGCTCCCAGCCAGTCACAGTGAATGGGCTATGAGCCACTAAGATGTGAGTGAAAATATCACCAAGGAGCCCGGACAGGGTCAAGCTGAATGAATTTGAGAATGGTCAGCTCAGTTATTACAGTTTTCTGCCTTTCTCCATCATCCTAATTCTCGCAACCTTACAGCTAGGCAAGGACTAGAAAGATGTCCTTCAGGAAGCTGCTTTTCATAATAAAGACTTTCTGTGTCGCAGTGCACAGGCCACATGTGTGCTTACATGAATATGCTCCTGCACACACACACACATGCAGGGTGCACACATACACAATTTTCTGCTCACTGAAAAAGGCGTTCAACACCTGAAGATGCCTTTTGAGGTTCGCCCTTTCTCTGAGATGTAATAGAGAAGTGAATATTCCTCATCTGCTTTTGGCCACAAAGGTTGGGGAGGTGGGTGATTAAAGTGTGGCAACTACGTGGCAACCTGATATTCAAAGATCCCTCCCTTCTTGGATTCTCTTAACAGGGATGGCCTAATTAGTAAAGATGAAATGATGGCTTACTTCCTGAGAGCGAAATCCCAACTACACTGTAAAATGGGACCAGGATTTATCCATAATTTTCAGGAGATGACCTATCTCAAACCAACCTTCTGCGAACACTGTGCAGGATTTGTAAGTCTGTTTTTCATTGTTTTCTTACATAAGTAGTTATTTGTGCGGCATTCTGAAAGGGTAGGAAAATGGTATGCTAAATAAAGTTCACTGTCTGCTTTGAATCAGAAGTAAAACGTGATGCCTCCCTGAAATTAAAGATTAAACACCAAAGGCAAGGTTTCGTTATTTTCTAGGAATGCAGGGCCAGCAAAAACAGGGAAGGTTGGCTGTTAAGAGAGTGGGTTTGTTTATTAATCCCTGCCAGGGAAAAGCGTCAGCCCAATGAGCCCTGGCATTATCACTAATATTCATAAGTGGTTGCAATTAAGAGGTGCATTTATCTTAGCGAGTTCCTTCCAGTTTTCATTTCATGTGTTATTAGTGACCAGAAATCCATCATGGCATGGTTCAATAATTCACAACTCAAAAAGAAGAAAAAATCTTTTTGGAGAGAAGCTGGTTATAATAATAAATAACATTTACTGAATGCTTGATGGTAACAAAGTACTTCCATAGACATTATGGTAACTAATCCTCATAGCAAGCCCTTGAAGTGGGTATTTTACTTTCACCATCTTGCTTATGAAGATAGAGAGGTTCAAAGAGGATAACCCAGGTTCCTGAGGATTGCACAGCTAATCATTACCGGAGCTTGGACTCCGACACAGGTGTACTGACTGTCAGCCCTGTGCTTCACCTATACCACTGCAACAAATGAAGACTGCACGCTTCCTTCCCCCACTTTTGATAATTCTTTGGGAAGTGAAGTCAGTTTTTGATCCTGGCCTTAACAGAAACTCTTGGGCCCTGAATGTCTTCCAGTTGATATCCAAGTTAAATACAATGGAAAATGCGGTATTCCAGGTGAGGGAGGCCCAGTACCCAGATGAGTATGACAATCACCCCTTTTTCTTTCTTTTCTTTTTTTTAATTTTTATTTTTTGAGATGGAGTCTTGCTCTGTCACCCAGGCTGGAGTGCAGTGGCACAATCTTGGCCCACTGCAAACTCCGCCTCCTGGGTTCACGCTATTCTCCTGCCTCAGCCTCCCGAGTAGCTGGGACTACAGGCGCCCACCACCATACCCAGCTAATTTTTTGTGTTTTTAGTAGAGACGGGGTTTCACCGTGTTAGCCAGGATGGTCTCCATCTCCTGACCTTGTGATCCGCCTGCCTCGGCCTCCCAAAGTGCTGGGATTACAGGAGTGAGCAACCACGCCCGGTGACAGTCACCCCTTTTTCTAGATGCCAGAGCTCAGTCGTGTCAGCTTTATTTGGCAGCCATGTCCTCCTGTTGACTTGTTCACCTATATTGAATTTGTTGCCAATATTATACACTACCAGAAATTACATTTTTCCCATCCCAGGCTCAAAGAACTGGCTTTGGGGGGCCAAATGCAGGAGTCTGTGTTCAAGCACACACTCCTCTGAGAATGGGTAAATAAGAGGCAGCCATTACCTCAAAGATGGTCCCAGGTGGTCATAGCAGCTGATGTGACACAGGGCAAAGCCCGTCTAACTAGCTCTCTTTATTCACTGCAGAGAAGGTGAAGTTCTTCTTTAGTATCTCCACTGGGATTGCATGACCAGACCATTTTATCATAAAACAAATGGTTGGCCAGGCGCATTGGCTCACGCATGTAATCCCAGCACTTTGAAAGGCCAAGGCAGAGGATCACCTGAGGTCTGGAGTTTGAGACCAACCTGGACAACATGAGGAAAACCCACCTCTACCAGAAATACAAAAATTAGCAGGGCATGGTGGCAGGTGCCTGTAATCCTAGCTACTCAGGAGGCTGAGGCAGGAGAATCACTTGAACCTGGGAGGCGGAGGTTGCAGTGAGCCAAGATCGTGCTACTGCACTCCAGCCTAGGCGACAGAGCAAGACTCAGTCTCAAAACAAAACAAAACAAAATGATCTCCTTTTTCATGTTTCTCTAGTTTCTCTATTCTGATGGAAATCTTTGGAAGTACTTAGACCTGAAAGTTCTGATGTGGGATGGGGCCGTGTGTAACACACTCCTACACAGTGGGACCCAGTGAACAAAAGATCAGGCTGCTGGGCCATGGCATGGCTCAGCCAAAAGTCAGGATGATGCATCTGTCTTTTGGTGGGCTGTGAGAGTGAGAAGGCCCTTACCAAATCTCAAGGTCCCGGGTGCTTTGGCATGGACCTGTAGTCCCAGGTGCTCGGGAGGTTGAGGCAGGGGGATAGCTTGAGCCCAAGAGTTTGACTCCAGCCTGGGCAATATAAAGAGACCCCCACTGCTGCCATCTCTAAATATAATAATAATAATAAAAACTCGGAAAGGCGTGGTGGCTCACGCCTATAAGCCCAGCACTTTGGGAGGCTGAGGCGGGTAGATCATGAGATCAGAAGATGGAGACCATCCTGGCTAACATAGTGAAACTCCATCTCTACTAAAAATATAAAAAATTAGGCAGGTGTGGTGGCGGGTGCTTGTAGTCCCAGCTACTCAGGAGACTGAGGCAGGAGAATGGCGTGAACCCGGGAGGTGGAGCTTGCAGTGAGCCGAGATCGCACCACTGTACTTCAGCCTGGGCAACAGAGCAAGACTCCATCTCAAAAAACAAACAAACAAACTCAAGGTCTTATCTCTGCTCTCGAGTCCTTCTGTCCTGTTTCTCCCTTTTACAGAGGCCCTGGTTCTGTGGGAGCAGCAAGGTAGACTTTCTTGGAAGTTCCACACCTCTCCCCCTGACTCATTGGAGCAGAGATGCTGGTGCTGTATTCTTGATGCAGCTGTGATGAAGTAGAAAGCTCTGGACCTGGAGTCTGGAACCCTGGGTTAAATTTCTGTTTTGCCTTTGCTAACTCTATGTCCTTGACCAAGTCATTCACCATCTTTGGGTCTATTTCTATCTGTAAATACTTACCCACCATGTTGTTGCATGATAAAATACTATTAGACACGTTGCACGTCACATGGCTTGGAGTACACATTTTTTATGTATTCCTTGATACTTTGAGAGTTTAATTGAAATTAACTCATTTAAAATTTTTACAGCTGTTTTTGTTTTTAAAATATATTTAATTTTATTGATACGATTTGATTTGATCTTCACTGACACTCATGTTAGAAAGCCCATTGGTTTTCAAAGGAATTTATAACTATAGCTCTATAGATGTGTCATTGAAAGGAATTGTGGGAGAATGGTTCCAGTGCCGGAACCATCTGCTTTTAAAATAAATTCCATTTTAAGGTTAAGGAAGACAAACAGACTTGCTCTGCAGAAGATTTATTTTAGAATTGGAATCCCAGAACTGAAAGAGTGTTAGTAATTCCCTTATTTTGTAGATGAAGAAACTGAGGTCTGGAGAAGTTAAGTGACTTCCCCCAAGGTCTCACAGATCATTAGCAGCAAAACCATGAGTCACACCCAGGTCTCCTGACTCTCTGTCCAGTGCTCCTTACACCACAATTACTCCAAATATGACAGCAGCCGGTGGTCTCAAATCCAAGGACTGTGGGAAATACTCCCGCATACCCATCCACATGAGTTCATCCTCTCCTGTTCTTGGCAGGCACACTGGCCCAGTGCCTCTTCCTAGCTACTGTTTGTTCCTGGCTATTAAGTAAGCATGAGCAAACCTACCTCCTCACCCCCACCTCCAGCACTCTTGCTTGACTGTATGTTTTTCAGCAGTTCCTGCAGCAATGCAATAATGTAACATATCTGGATATTAGGATGTCTCTTCGTAAATCTTATCCTTTCTTGTCCCACCTCAGTGCCTTTGCTCACACACAGAGTATGCAGGAGCAATGGCTTCCTGTCTTTCCCTCAAGTGACACATTCTTCTTTCCCTTACTAGCTATGAGACCTTGCCAACGGACTTTACCTCTCTGCAGGTCAGTCTCCTTGTCTGTAAAAATGAGAAAAATATTATTACCTATATCATAAGGACATCATGAGCAATTAAACAAGCTAATATGGATAAAGACCCTAAAACTGTGCCTCTCACATAGCAAGAGTTCAAGAAATGTTAGCTATCATCATTATGATTGCTATTATCATTACCAAGGGCTCTGGAGAAAGAATTTCCAGGTTGTGGGAGATTGGAAATTATCTAACTTCCTGGATCATCACATTCACCTTTTACAAAAGAGAAGCAAACTAGATTATCGTAAAGATCAAGCTGTGATGATCGTGGCCACCACTGCCCTTTTCTGGATCATGCCCCTCTGTCTTCCAGCCATCCTTGCTTCTACTTAGTTGTCAAATAATCCTTCCTGTCCCTAAGACAAAATATTGCTGTGTCCTAGGAGATATTTGCATTTTATTTATTTATTATTATTTTTTTCTTTGAGATAGAATCTCTCTCTGTCGCCAGGCTGGAGTGCAGTGGATATTGGCTCACTGCCACCTCTACCTCCCGGGTTCAAGCGATTCTCCTGCCTCAGTCTCCTGAGTAGCTGGGACTACAGGCATGCACCACCATGCCCAGCTAATTTTTGTATTTTTAGTAGAGATGGGGTTTCACCATGTTGGTGAGGATGGTCTTGATCTCTTGACCTCATGATCCACCTGCCTCGGCCTCCCAAAGTGCTGGGATTACAGGCATAAGCCACCACACCTGGTCGACATTTGCATTTTAATACGTATTCTGAAGGACCAAATAGCTGTTAAGGCTCAAAGGAATTTTAGTTTTCTACTTGCGGAAGTTCCTTGTCAAGAAGTAAGGATTTTTCCTGTACTCTTGAGTCACTTCACATTGGCTGTGACTTACTCTTCTGCAAGAGTGGGCCATGCTGCCCACACGTGGGGGCATTGTTCGCTTATAATACACTGTGAACATTGTGAATGGCACCCCCATCAGTCCCAGTGGGCCCTGCTTTTTTCAACATTATTTTATTAAGTAGATAAGAGCCACCTAACCCAAACATGTAAAGGTTAGCAATAGTTCTTCTCCAACTTGAGCTAAGCCCATTTAATTACGCATACTGTACACCTCTGGTGAATCTGTCACCCCGTGCAAGATCTGTGGGGAGGCACAGAAGGGCATGGCAAGGCCCTCTTCTTTATGGTGTTTAGGAGTCTGTCTAGAGAGCGAAGACACCACCAGCAGAATGTTGCCCCTGAACCCCCCGGGCAAATGCTCCCTTGTGGAACTGTGGGCCCTCCACATCTCGCCTCAGGGATTTGTCACTTCCTACTCCTTAACCACAAGGAAGTCACAGACTCCTTGGTTGGTAGAATCTGAGCTTTTTCGACATCTCCTACAGCCCTGGCACAGGCCAAACATAGAGCAAATGCGGAGAATGAAGACATGAATAACTAAGATCATTTCCTCTTCTGTATTTTTCCACGGGACAAATACTACTCAGAAAATAACCTAGGAAAATCCAAATGCTTTCATGTGAGGCGCGCTTCTTCCATTGCTTCATTTCCTGTAGTGGGTACCAAGAGCAGCTAGTGTCATTAAAAAGAGGGAGCCAGGGGCTCCCAAAGACCAGTGGCCATCTCCTCTGTACGTTTTGCCGAGAGCGCATCAGGCCAAAGTCTGGTGCATCAAACTTTAGTAGTTTCCCATCCCGGCTCCCAGTTGGCTCCAAGAAAGAAAAGGGAAATGAAACTCATGTTATCACCATAGCTGGAAGGGGCCCAGAGAGGGTTCTTCTATCTGGCAGGAAGGGTGTTAAGAGTGGCTACATCCTGTTTGTGCCTGGCTAGTCATGAAGCTTCCCAGGACTTCCCTCTCAGTGGCCTTGTTTTCCTTCCAGATCTATCCTCAGATTCCCTGACATTCCTTTGTCTTTTGTTACAGCTCTGGGGCATAATCAAGCAAGGATACAAATGCAAAGGTAAATCAATGTTATTTTGTTAAAATTTTTAAAATGTGACATTTTGGTTAAGAATCAAATTTGGTTAAACTACAAAAGCTCTTGACATTATTCAGAATTTCAGTCTTTTGGGTCAACGGCAACTGAGAATGATTGCCTCTGAGGAGGAGTTTCTAGAGTTTTGGAGAGCTAAAATTGGAATTTTATAGCTTGTTAGAAACCACTCTTATCAACACACATAAATCTAGTTCTTTTGAATCAGAGGCATCCAGTTAAGGTGGGAATTCTGAGTGGGACAAGCCTAGCTAAAATACTGTATATAAGAAATTTTTCCTTCAAAGAAAAACACTACTTACTATTTCTATAATCCATAGGCACTTCTTCCCACTCACACTTAGCTATTCTTTTCTCTACTAAATCACATAGATGGTAACAGAAAACAAGGAGAAAACTTAAAATGTATTTTTGTCCTTTTCAGTGAATGCATTCCTCTATATTTCCCATTTAATTAAGTTTATAAACAATTGAATAAAATATATTTGACAAATGCTATATGCATGTATATTAAGCATTTAGGAATGTGTTGCTACTTGTACATATATGATCAAGTACACATTATTGTTATTTAAGAAGTTGCTGGACACTATGCGGACAGTTTATATGGTTCTTTTAAGAATCTTACAATGCTTTTGAAAAATATAATAAAACTTCAAAAAGAAACATCTTAATCACAGAATACCTTCACATGAATGTTGTTCCCCTAGCATGCCTTTTTTCTCCAGTTATTTTCCAGTATTTGCTCCTCATTTTGCATGAACAAAAAACTTCCCAAATCTCAATGGAAGCCACTGTTTAATGCTCAGAAGTACCTTCCCATTAGTGCTTCTCTATCACTTGCCTTGGTCTGACTTAGATTTTTACTTTCAAGCAGCAAAGATACTGCAAGAACTTATTGCCCAGCAGTGAGTCATTCGTTTTATTCTGGTTTCTATCCTCATACCCTAAAATACACACACACACACACACACACGCAATTTTATAAAGATGAAAATATATTATACCTTTGGATTATCTCTTGTATTTTCTTACTGGCATATAAAGTGAAGAAAAAACTAATTAAAATAAATTGAACACGTCATTAAGACTTTTTGGAAACAAGATCACTTAGGGGAAAATGGGTATTGGAAATAGTTAGAAAGGTCCTCTTTGACGGTAGGAGAGAAATGATCTCTATTCAGTGATTCTCTGTGAAGTGTAGGACCCTCACCATAGGAAATAATTGGGACCCACCATCTGAAGTGGCCACATTTTTCTACCCCAAGTAGTAATTAACATTCTATTACCTTATCTAAAACATCCTAATGGGCAATTTCACAGACTCTACTGCATACCGTTTCAAAGCATAAGCAAATACAGAACATATTTACTGAGCATCTGCCCATCTTGTATTCTGTTTCTATACAAAGGAAGGAAGCAGAAGATGTAATCACTGGCCCTGAAAGGTTTTGGAAAATGAAGAAGAGTAAAAAAGTCCAGACAAGTGCTGAATGGAGGAACTCCTCACAATAAATGATCAGAGGCAGCATTTGGCCTGGGAGAGGCTAGAAGCTGAGGCTTCTTGCCCTCATCCTGCCTTAGGCTCTCTTTGTGGGGATTCCATCTAAGCCTGGGAAAGACTCTCAACCCCATTTGATTTGCATTTAGTTTTGGGCAAAGGCAACTGACCTCTCAGGCTGGACTCTATTTGCTTCCTAGGCACAATTGCTCATTAGGTCCTCAATTGCATAGAGAATCAAGCTGAGCAAATGTAAGAGAACTTTCGGAACCTCAGGAAGGCAAGTGTGGACCAATGGCCCCTTTCCAGATGCTAGACACACCCCATGGGCCTGAGCTCAACTCTGAAATTCAACACAGAAACTGGGGTTGGGGAGGGGAGGGCTGAAAAATCAAGTGCCACCCTGGAAACTCAATCAATATCAGACACACTAATCATCTGCGACACCCTTGGAATTTTTCAGACTGTGGAGCCAATTGTCACAAACAGTGCAAAGACCTCCTGGTTCTGGCCTGCAGGAGATTTGCCCGGGCGCCCTCCTTGAGCAGTGGTCATGGGTCACTGCCTGGAAGCCCCTCGCTGCCCCCAGGTAATGCCCTCTGCCTTCTTTGCTGCCATGGTCTCTCTCTGCTTGCCTCCTCACACTTGGACCTCATTTAGGTTCTGGGTCTAAACCCAGTCAGTCTCTCTAAATGCTAAGGCCTTCTTTAGGGTGAGCAGCAGTGGCTAAACCCTTGAATCATCCTTGCTTCTCTCTGCTTTCCAGTCTCAGGAACATGTAACTTGCCTACAGCTAATTGAGTTCTGTCCCTCGTCGGTTCCTCTAGGACCTTGCATGCCAGACTTGTGCTGTTTGCACTATCATTGATGCTTTGCTATCAAGCAGTCAGATGTCAAATAATCACCATCCTCTTTCACTTCCAGCACAGGATGAGGTGTTTGAGTTCCCTGGAGTCACTGCTGGACACAGGGATTTAGACAGCAGAGCCATCACACTGGTTACAGGCTCTTCTCGCAAGATCTCCGTGAGGCTACAGAGGGCCACCACCAGCCAGGCCACCCAGACTGAACCTGTCTGGTCAGAGGCTGGCTGGGGGGACTCAGGGTCCCACACCTTCCCTAAAATGAAATCCAAGTTCCATGACAAAGCAGCAAAGGACAAAGGCTTTGCCAAATGGGAAAATGAGAAGCCCAGGGTGCATGCTGGTGTGGATGTTGTAGACCGGGGCACGGAGTTCGAACTTGACCAGGATGAAGGAGAAGAGACCAGACAGGATGGTGAGGTAAGTGCTAGGTCAACCCACAAAGAAAACCAGAAGAAGGAGGCTGAAAGTGCTGAGATGAGCATGACAGAGGGTCTGGGGGGCAGCCTGGTAGTTCTGAAAGCAGAATGGTTGGGAATGAAGACATGTATCACTTTTAGTCTTGCCACTGGCTAGCTATGTGCCCCTGGACATATGTTTCTTCTTTCTGGATCTCAGTTTCATGATGTAAAAAATTGAACCAGATCAAGTTCTGAAACCTAGTGAAGGCTGTCATGTGTGCATACTGAAATGATGCCCCAGAAGCCCCTGACTATATATCCAAGATACCAGTACACAATACAGATCAGCTTGGTTTTCCAAGCTAGAACCAGGGCCAGAGTCAAGAAAGGCAGTGGAAGCAAAAGCCTTTTAGATAAAGGAGAATTGGAAACTTCTGACTCTACTCAAAAGAAGCTTTTGACAGCATCATGGAAAAGGGGGTGGTAAGAATCAGAGATACACGGCCCTTGAGGATCTCTAAACCAGGCTCTGCCTCTGCGTGAGCAAAATCATGCAAAGCAAAGTAGGATGCAGATGGAATTTGTTAGAGTATGCTGACATAGAAATTGATTCAAGATGGAGTTAGATAAATTTATTAGTTAACAGTCTATAGTGTATTAAGAGAAAGGATTTGAGAAAATTGGCATCATATTCCTAACGTTTAAAGCAATGTCATGGAGGACAGCCATTGCCGCCCTGTCGAATCGTTCTCATAAACAGAATATTGGGTTAGGCAGAGATCCTACTGGATCAAGCCAGTGCTCTTTAGTCTTATGGGTGGTCCTCCACATTCCACTCTTCAGGAGACCTAAACACACCTCTCCATACATCTCTCCATGATGAGAAAAACTCCAATGACCTTTAACCAGAAATCCCCCTAGTTCCTTCCTGATTGAAGGCAGTGCATAAGGAGGCCACCCATTATCTCTGGTCATACAAGGTTTATTGTAAGTTTCTGCTAAAACACTTTTTTTGTTTCTTATAACATCCACTTTTAAAAACAGCTTTGAGATGTAATTCACATGCCATGAAACTGACCCGTTTAAAAGTATACAATTTAGTATACTTTCAGTATGCTTTTAGCATACTCACAAAGTTGTGCAACCATCACTACAATCTAATTTTAGAACATTTTCATTATTCCAAAAAGAAATCCTACACCCATGAGTAGTCACTCTCCCCCACCTCACCCCAGCCCTAGGCAGCCAACTAATTTATTTTCTGTCTCTATAGATTTGCAACACCCACTTTATTTTTAACATTTCCCCCACTGATCATCTTGGCAACTGTATCAGTCCTATCCCCCCACTTCTTTTACTGGCCTAGCACAGTTCAAGCTGGGAATATAAACGGGAATAAGAGAAAGATCATGATTTGGTGCCAACAGCTCTTAACCTGACGTCTATTTAATGACTTCAGGGGGTTCATGACAGCACTTTATACTTTATATAAAATTATACATGAACATATGCTCACTTCTGGGAAGAGGAGTCCATGCATTAAACAGATTCTCATGCGGGTATGTGATCCAAAAAAGCAAAGAATCATTGTGCAAGATTTTCTGGATTCCCTGTCTAGTCACCCCGTACACCAACTCAGCCTGCAGAGGCTATTTCCATGGGTGCTGTAGCTGCCCCTGGAATCTCAGAAAAAGAACTTCTCCAGGTTGATGGCAGGATGCCTACCAGAGTGCTCAGGATGGCACCCACCTCATGGGCATCTCTGAATTCAGAGGAGAACCTGCTTTTGTTAAACAAATAGTGAAACTGGCCATGAGCTCACTACTATTGGCCTCTCACAGTTCAAGTTACTTAAACTGTGCTTCTGAGTTAGAAGATGTTCACAGCCTGTTGGGTGTAAGACAATCACATAGGTAAGATTTCCTGATCATTAATCTCTATAAGGAAATATAAACAAGTATCTGGGCTTTTAAAAAAATTTAAATTTGTTTTCTGGAAATTGAACTTTTATATTCAAATGCTCTCTTATCCTTTCTGTGTTCTTATCTCTCTTTTTTTTTTGACAGAGTCTCACTCTTTCACCCAGGCTAGAGTGCAGTGGCGCAATCTCGCCCCACTAGTTTTTGTTTTTTCAGTAGAGACAGGGTTTCACCACATTGGCCAGGCTGGTCTTGAACTCCTGACCTCAGGTATTCTACCTGCCTCATCCTCCCAAAGTGCTGGGATTACAGATGTGAGCCATTGCACCCGGCCATGTTTTTCTCTCTTAAAGCACAGGGATGATTCACTGACCCCAAGTATTTAATTTCATCTGTGCTAATTAATGAAGGAAGTATGCTGTTGCATGAAATGCATATGTATGGTATATAGTCTCAGTCCCATAGAAATCAGTAACAAATGAGATGTTTGCCCTGTTTAGGGAATAAGCAAGAAGGAAAAAAAAAAAATGACAAAATTATACCCAGGGGTTGAATATGTAGCCAAAGGAGTTTTTAAATTTAAGATTTTTTTTTTTTTCTGCCAGGCGAGACCAATAAATGGCATTAGGAGCACTGACCTACACATTTATTATTTAGTATCAGATGATGTTTGTGAGTCCTGTAGTTAAAAACTGTAGAACGCAGAAAAGGTACTTGTGTTTGTAATCCGTGTATTTCCTCCAACAGAGTTCTAGGATTTATACTCATTTTAAAATATAAGGGTATGAACATTTTCTGTGGCAGTGTACCTCATCTCACCAATGACCACAGAGCCCCTGCATGTCAGAACAGGTCAAGATTACTCTCTTGGCAGTAAGAATACATGCATTTCCTTTAAACTTCTTTTATTTTCCTTTATCTTCTACTAAATTAAATTTAGTCAACAAATATTTATCATAAAAGCGTTGGGAAATGCTGACTAAATAAAATGGAATATGTTTGTGAATATATGTCATATACATATATAGTCATACATATGTACATATACATATGTAGATTGATAGGTTTTCTCAGTGCCCTTCTGCACAATTTACACTGTGGATTTCTAAAAGGGAAACCTTTTAACAAGAATCATTTTGAGGAACTAATGATTTGTGGTATACCCTTTAAGCCTTTAAGGTCAACATCCTAGTTGGACTCCATATAGGAGTCTTCAAGAGTTCATGTGCTGAGTGAACTACGTGATCTCTCTCTCGCTCTCTCTTTTTTTTTTTTTTCTGAGACAAGCTCTCACTGTCCCTCAGGTAGGACTGCAGTGGTGCAGTCATAGCTCACCACAGCCTCGAACTCCTGGGCTCAAGCGATCCTCCCATCTCAGCCTCCTAAGTAGCTGGGCCAGCAGGCATATGCCACCACACCCAGCTGGTTTTTATTTATTTTTTGTAGAGACGGGGTCTTGCTATATTTACCAGGCTGGTCTTGAACTCCTGGTCTCAAGTGATCCTCCCACCTTAGCCTCCCAAAGTGCTGGGATTATAGGTGTGAGCCACTGCACCCGGCTACCTATGTGATCTCCTAATTTCCACTAAATCCTGAGACTATGAGGTACTGATCATTTCAGATATTCCCTCAAATTCATCTGAAAAACTGCTTTCTAGGAACATTCTTACTTTGTTACATGAGATCCAGCCATGCAATAGGTTCCAATTTGTGTTTCAGGATGGCTGACTTCAGGCTGCGGAAACTGAAGGCAATAATGTGGGCTTTCGGAAGGGCAAGATGAGACACTCTGAAGAAAGCTGTGACTCTCAGGAAGTTATCTGGAAAGATACCTGGATGTTCACTGCCTTGGGACACTGTGGGATCTCCATGTTTGGACTATGGGACAGAGAATTGACCCTAACTATGAACTATTTATTTCCTGCTCCCCTACCCCTAGTTAAGTGCCACAAAGACTGTGTTATGTAGTCAGTACTTTTTTCATGTATCTTTCTCTAGAGCCATTTATATACGGGTGAAACGAAAGCTTTTTTGCATGTACTTGATACTCATTCTGTAAACTCAGACTTCGCTTTTTTTGTAAGAATATCCTTTCAATACTTTTATAAACTTTTGTGTGTGCTGTGGCGGGGAACAGTTAACAAGGAGATGATTTAGAGGATTTTTTTTTTTTTGGTCTGCCTTTTGGATGGGACCAGGACTTAACATTTTCCTGAGGACAAGGAAGCTCTTCAGACACTGGAATGCAATGATTCTTCTAATGATGGTCAACTGCAAGAGAAGCTATTTACATTGTTCCTACCATACAGTTGCTATGATATGTAACAAGTCACACATGTATATATCACACAAGTCTTACCAATTCTGCATCACTAGGAAGCTATGGCATGGTCGTGAAAACTCTCCTAATACTTACAATAGCCATGGAAGAAAATTATGCTTGTCCCTTCTGACTGGGTTAAGCCATCTTTCTTAAGATTCCTGAAGTAGAAATAGCAATTAAGAAATAAATTCAAGTTTTGAAGGTTAACATTTAGCAGAAAAACAAACCATTGAATCAGCTACTAGGTGATATGCAAAACAACCATCAATTTTTTAAAACTCAAGAATTTCATGAAAAAACAAACAAACAAAAAAAACTTTCGGTTGTAAAAGAAAACCCTTGTTCTCTTCCTAAGAAACGGCCTTCCACAATTAAAGAATATTCATAGAAAGAAAATAATCACAAACCATATTTGATTAACATTTCATTTAAGCTTTTAAAATATCAATCTTTTAAGTAGCTCCCATTTACCCAAAATAACTAGTTATGGTTCTATTTCTTCCATGATTAGAGGAGAGAGAGCTTGATTCAAGATACTGAAAAATAGAGATGGGACTGAGCCTGTGAATGACAGGAATAATCTGTTACCAGGTGACTAGTCGGAAACTACCCCACAGAGGTGCACTGGTCTGCATTTGGGGGCTAAAGTGTATATATTCCATTTAAAATGGAATTTGTTTGTATTTGGGGCAGTCTACAGTAAAGCCTTTCTCCTTTCTTTTCTCCACTGAGGACAGTTCTGCTCAGCAAAATTGTTGAGTACCTGTTCCAGCCAGGTCCCATGCTATATGCACAAAGTTAAGAAAAACTTGGTCTTGGCCCTTGAGAGCTGACAGCCCATGGGCATTAAGGCAAAGTGGTTCCAGTGATTTAAAATATGGTTCCAAATATGCTAAAACCAACTTGTGCCAACCAGATTTACAGATTGGAAATACTGCAGATGAAGTGAAGTTATCAGTTGAGGGAGCTGTGATTAAGCTGGATAATAAGAGAACACACCACCTGTAAGCACTTAGAAGGCAGTCATCCCTAGATGTTGGTTTCATGTATATTACACTATCTACTACTACCCATAAATGCAATAATATGCATGTTAACAACATTAAAAACAGAAAACAGCAATCTAAGTACAGGAAAGCTTTTTTGTGTGTTTAAAAAAATGGAAGAAAATTCAGGAAGAAACGTGTTAATAAACATTGTACTGTTCTTTTGCTTCTCAAAGGAATTATTCACTTGCCACTTTGGTTATTTTTGAGTTTTCATACATAGGAAGTTTTATATTGTCAGCCTTCCTATGACAAAGATATTAAATGTAACGAGTAAAAAATAAAAAAGAATAACTATGTATATACATATATAAATTACATATGTGCCTGTATATTGTGTGTGTATATACACAGTAAGTCCTCATCTGTCCATAGATTCTTGGAAACTGCCACTTTAACAACTTGAAGTTGGTCTTGAAACAACTATAACAAGACCAACTTTTTTTCTCATCAACGTTGTAATGAAAGGAAATTGAATGAAATCACCTTGTGGAGGACCAGTTTGAACACTTCATTTGACTTAAAGTTGCTGTTGCCAAGAACCTACAGACCATGTTAAGTGAGGACTTACTGTATACACGCACACGCGCACACTCACACACACACACCCCTACCTATTAATACTTTGCTGAAGAATAATTTAAGTCTATGACAAAACTGCCTTATAATTTTGATTATATCATTTACTGACAACCAATGACTCTGATGTTTCCAATCTATCAATTTCCCATAATCAGCAAAATAAACAAAATAGGCAAATCCATGATGGGGCAAAAAGAACAATCACAATTGACTCCTCCAGACCTTAATTTTGTAGGTTTGATGATCACTGTCACCCAGAAAATTGAAAGAAAAAACAAAAGCAAACTCTTAACAATGAAAATGAGGTATGAGGGCAGGATTTATTAAATGTTTTAATTGCATCTTCATTGGAGCATCTACGAATTGACTGAGGCTTTCTCAGATCTACCTAAACCAGAGAAGCCATGATTGGTTATTTGAACCCTTATGTTGAGTGGATATCCTCTGAAGCAATAACGTCCCCAGATTTTCATGGTAAGTCTGTACAATGGACAGAGGAGTTTGCAATTTAAAAATGAAGAAGGCAGGACTTCTACAGAAGAGCATGTCAAACTGTTATTGATGGTAGGAAGCTTAATTATTCCTAAGATAAATATCTTAATTTTGCCAAAATATATAAAGCTCTAGAATGACTGAGGAAATCAATTCAGTGAAACTGCACCACAAAAGTGTACCTTTAGCACGCAATTCCCAACCAGATTGAAATCTCATCTTGGCTGCTTATAGTCATGGAATCCTGGGCAAGTCAGGTACATCTATTTGAGCCTCAATTTCTTCATTTGAAAAAGACAGATTTCACCACCCTCTTCAACTACCTCATAGAGTTTTGGTAAAGATCAGGTCAGATAATATATGTAAAAGTATTTGTAAAGACCTTATGTTGTTATTATTTTGCAATTAAGCAGGATTCTTCTCTAAAATTGTTTTAAGAGCCCAGATTTTCTGTATATTATATGGCTGTGTATTTGGAGGCTCTAAACTCAATATTTAACTAAATTTTCTGTTTAAAAAAAAGATTTAAGGTGGCTCACGCCTATAATCCCAGCACTTTAGGAGGCCGAGGTGGGTGGATCATAAGGTCAGGAGATCAAAACCATCCTGGTTAACATGGTGAAACCCCGTCTCTACTAAAAATACTAAAAAAAAAAAAAAAAAAAAATTAGCCGAACGTGGTGTTGCGCACCTGTAGTCCCAGCTATTTGAGAGACTGAGGCAGGAGAATGGCATGAACCTGGGAGGCAGAGCTTGCCGTGAGCTGAGCAGAGATGGTGCCACTGCACTCCAGTCTGGGCGAAAGAGCAAGACTCTGTCTAAAAAAAAAAAAAAAGATTTAAACAGAAGTATTAACGAAAATAGTCAAAAGAGATTTTCTTATTTCTGGCACTATGTGTGTGTAGGATTAGTTCTGGTTTGATTGCAATACTGACTAGTCTTGTCCTCTTTGAAAACAGACCAGCAGGATTAAGAAACCAAATGGGTAAAATGTAAATGAAGTTAGAGAAAAATCCATATATTGGGTATATGTAAATGGGATACAACACAAATATATTTAAAAGGCTGGCTCTTAAAAGAGTTTATTAGTTTACTACAGGGAGACAGGAGGAAAACAAACACTACTTTTTAAAATAAAAAGCATTTACTTGATAACTGGAATGTATTTTACAGCTATTGAAGGTGGGTAAGTATAGGAAACTACTTGGCATTTTAAGCCTTCATCAGGAAATGGCTTCCTCCTGGCTGCATCCAAAACGTGCTGGCCTAAGTCTAGAGAGTACTCAGACCTCAAACAAAAATGATTATCTTGTGTTTTAAAAATGCTACTAGCATATCATGTTGGAAATCATGCCCATTCAGAATCTAAGTGACATGCAGTTTATCCACAGGAGCATAAAGGAAGAATTACTTGGAGCATTCTACAAGGCAACTGGCCTGAACACCTCAAAAATAAAATATCATGAATAGATAAAGGAGGGCAAGGGCAATTTTGGGTCAAAAAAGATTGAATGAAACACAACAGTGAAATGCGATGTTATAAACCTTGATTGGATTCTGGGTCAAATACTGAAGAAAGCAGTGGCTCACGCCTATAGTCCCAGTGCTTTGGAAGGCTGAGGCAGGAAGACTGCTTAAACACAGGAGTTTGAGGCTGCAACGAGCTATGACTGTGCCACTGCACTCCAGCCTGGGCAACAGAGCGAGACACTGTCTGGATTAAAAAAAATAATAAAAGAAAAAAGTAAAGCAGGCATTTGCGGGGGCAACTGGAAAGATTTAAATATGGAGTATAGGCCGAGTGCAGTGCCTCATGCCTGTAATCTCAGCACTTTGGGAGGCTGAGGTAGGCAGATCACTTGAGGTCAGGAGTTCGAGACCAGCCTGGCCAACATGATGAAACCCCTAAAAAAATGCAAAAAATACAAAAATTAGCCAGGCGTGGTAGCGCACGACTGTAATCCCAACTACTTGGGAGGCTGAGGCAGGAGAATAGCTTTGAACCAGGGAGGTGGAGGCTGCAGTGAGCCAAGATCACATCACTGCACTCCAGCCTGGGTGACAGAGTGAGACTCTGTCTCAAAATAAATACATAAATAAATAAACAAATAAGGAGTATATATTAATTGAACTATTGTATGAATGTTAACTCACTTCAGTATGGTAACAATTTTATGGTTATGTAGGAGAATCTCTCTTTTTAGGAGAAGTAGTTAGGGATAGAGTATCAATATTTGCAACTTTCAAAGGGTCAAAATTTTTTAAAAGTTTCCATTTGTGCAGAAAGATAAAAAGAAATGTGGGAAAATACCAAAATGTTGACTCTAGGTAAAGGGTACATAGAAGTTCATTGTACTATTTTTTAAACTTTTATAAAGGTTTGTGATTTTTTAAAAAGTTGGAGGAAAATAAATCATTATTCCTTCTCTTACCGGAAATCATTTTAAAAAGCATCAATGAGAATAAAAACAAAAAACAGTTTCAATTTGCAGAAAAAGCTGGTGAGAACTGAAATCCTGGCCCAACAAAGGAAAGATGGTCAAGAGCATCAGAGACTTGCAGGACGGAGGGACTTGCAGGAAGGAGGACAAGGACTGACATCGCTCTGGGAGAGAAGGATTCAGTAGCTGCAAGTATTTAAAACGTACACACAAGGCCGGGTGCGGTGGCTCACCTATGTAATTGCAGCACTTTGGGAGGCCGAGGTGGATCACTTG